GATTATCATTTATATAGAAACTTCAAATTTTAATTCATAGGAACGGCAATTACAGTAATTATATAGTTAATAATCATGATAATAATAATAGTAATAACGAAAATAGTATCAGTGGTGACAATAATTATAACAAAAGTAATAACAATAAACATGATGATTAAGATCAAACAAACAATGATAAAACAAATATCAACAATGATAAGGATGATGATGATAATGTTATAAGGATGATAATTATGACAATTAAATTAATAATACAAATGATAACAACAATGACCGTGCTAATAGTATTGATAGTAATAAAGATGATAATAATAATAGTATTAATGATAATAACAATGATGATGATGATAATAGGGGTAATGATAATAACAATAGTAATGATAATGATAATAACAATAACAATGTTAATGAAAATGATGATGGGGATGATGATGATAATAACAGTAATGATAAATCTCTAATGATAAAAGATGATATTAATCACATTGGAAATAACACCAGCAAAGATGTTTATGATTATGGTGATGATGATGATATTAATAAAAAATTATAGTATTGAAAATGATGATAACTATAATGATAATGATGATATTAACAAATAACAATAATATTGACTCGCTACACCGCCCCCCCCCCACCTTACTTTCTCTTCCTCTTTCTCTTACTTTTTCCACCCCTTCTACATTCTTTTTTAACCTAAAATGATATTAGATGCGTAAAAAAAATAGAAAAAAGAATGTCCAATTGTAATTCTGCCCTAGTACACAAGTACATAATCATATCAAAATGATTGTTCTAGCTTCATCTCATTCGTGGCCCCCTATTAAAAAGAAAAAAAAGAGAGAGAGAGAGAGAAAAAAAAATAGGTATTGCCATTGTAAGAATTCCATTATCAAATTTCAAAGCGTACTGAGACCAACAAACAAACAAACAAAACCGGAGAAAAAAATAATAATATCGTAGTTGGGGAATTTTTCATAGATGGGAAAACAAAAGCGCCCTTTTCGAGACTGTCAGAACCGATACCTCTCGCATTCTACAACAGAGATAGCTTTGGAGTGCCTCAGGTACCGGCCTCATATCCATTTATATTGAGGGTCGTCGCGAACTAGCATAGCTGTTGAAAGCATAAGGAGATAAACACGGACGTGGGAGAATGCGAGAATGCGAGAGGAGAGTGGGAGGGAGAGAGGGGGATAAGGAGAGGGGGAGGGATTGGGAGAGGAAGAAGGATGGAGTAAAGGAGAGAGGAGGAGAGAGAGAGAGAGAGATAGCGCTAGAGAGAGAAAAAAAAAAGAGAGAGAGGGAGAGGAGGAAAGATGGAGAGAAATAGGAGAAAATCGCAGAAATAAATTTATCGAGGTTCTCTTTTATTCCTTTTCTCGTATGTAGATTTTCTTTTATTGCAGTTTGCTTGCTTGATGAAGGTGCGCAATTTAACATGGCGTGGAAGCAATTTTGTCACATCCTTTTTTCATTGTCATTTACTTGCGATATATATATATATGCGTGTGTGTTTTATATATATATATATATATATATATATATATATATATATATATATATATATATATATATATATATATATATATATATATATATACATATATATATATATATATATATAATATATATATAATATATATATATACATATATATATATATATATATATATATATATATATATATATATGTATATATATATATATATATATATATATATATATATATATATATATATATATATATATATATATATATATATATATATATATATATATATATATATATATATATATATAAATATATATATAATATATATATATATATATATATATATATATATATATATGTATATATATATATATATATATATATTATATATATATATATATATATATGTATATATATATATATATATATATATATATATATGTGTGGTGTGTGTGTGTGTGTGTGTGTGTTGTGTGTGTGTGTGTGTGTGTGTGTGTGTGTCTGTGTGTGTCTGTGTGTGTCTGTGTCTGTTGTGTTGTATGTGTGTGTGTGTGTGTGTGTGTGTGTGTACATAAATAGTCTGACGAGGAACTCTTGATTAGTTCGAAACATTACGTTCTACTTCGTTCATATTGCGACAGTGTATCATCATGAATTGCCAAGCAACACACACTGTATATATTCTGTAAATTACGTACCTAGATAATTGTATGTGCATTTTTATATAGATTCAACTCTTTGCTACTTATTGTTCCCAAAGTCAAAGGAGATATGAAAATATTTTATTTATATGAAATATGAAATGTGAAAAGTTAAAATAAAACATTGCATGAAATGTAAGTAAAATTGTGTTTGTTGCCGCATGTCGCTTCATGAAAGTATAAATGTATTCCCTTTTCCTTTTTTTCTTCAGAAAGAAGAGACAGAAATATGCTATGAAAAATGAGAACGAAAATTGAATTGAATTGAAAAAAGAACGAAAAATGAGCAAGAATTCCTTTCCTTTTTATGCTAGAGTTTCTTGCAACAAGCCTCGACGCCAAACTCAATATAGGACATCTTTTTCCCCTTCTTCTTTTTCTTCTTCTTCTTTTTGCAATACTTTTAAATCAATACGGACAGAATTGCACACTGTAGCTCCTCAATACCGTCATTCGGTATTTCGCAAAGACTTTGAGTACAAGTTACCTGAACCTTCGCATCGCCTCCTGTGTCTCCAGAGAAAACGGGAAGCGAGGGGGGTCTAGCATGTTAAAATTCTTGGCAGGAAATTGGAGGAGAGAAGAAGAGAAAGGAGAGAGAGTGTTGCTCGACGAGACGACGCGCAAGCCATGTTAAACGTCTTGAAGATTCTTTGTTATCTGAGTAGGGCGAAGGAGATATTTCTAGCGAGAAGAATTGATTTTTTGAGTGACGTAACATTTCCACTTGGATGTGACGCTTTTGCATGGTATCTTATTTAAGTTTTTTTGGTTTATCCGATGCCTACTTGTATAAAAGTCAGTCAGTAAGCTGATTTTAGATGCACTTTATGCTATATAGTTAGTGAAGGTAATCCTTTACTTTACACCCGTCTCAAATTATTGAGATATTTTTTTTCCCTCCTCCAAATCGCATCCTGGGGAAGAAAAAAGTAAATGAAAAGAAAATATTCTCTCTCTCTCTCTCTCTCTCTCTCTCTCTTCTCTCTCTCTCTCTCTCTCTCTCTCTCTCTCTCTCTCTCTCTCTCTCTCTCTCTCTCTCTCTCTCTCTCTCTTCTCTCTTCTCTCCTCTCTCTCTCTCTCTCTCTTCTCTCTCTCTCTCCTCTCTCTCTCTCTCTCTCTCTCTCTCTCTCCTCTCTCTCTCTCTCTCTCTCTCTCTCTCTCTCTCTCTCTCTCTCTCTCTCTCTCTCTCTCTCTCTTCTCCTCTCCTCTCTCTCTCTCTCTCTCTCTCTCTCTTCTCCTTTCTCTCTCTCTCTCTCTCTCTCTCTCTCTCTCTCCTCTCTCTCTCTCTCTCTCTCTTTCTCTCTCTCTCTCTCTCTCTCTCTCTCTCTCTCTCTCTCTCTCTCTCTCTCTCTCTTCTTCTCTCTTCCTCTCTCTCCCTCTCTTCCTCTCTCTCTCTCTCTTCTCTCTCTCTCTCTCTCTCTCTCTCTCCTCTCTCTCTCTCTCTCTCTCTCTCTCTCCTCTCTCTCTCTCTCTCTCTCTCTCTCTTCTCTCTCTCTCTCTCTCTCTCTCTCTCTCTTCTCTCCTCCTCTCTCTGTCTCTCCTTATGTTCTCCCTTCCCTCTCTCATCTCTCCTCTCCTCTCCTCCTCTCGTCTCTTCTCCCCTCTCTCTCTCTCTCTCTCTCTCTCTCTCTCTCTCTCATCTCTCATCTCCGCTCATCTCCTACCTTCTCCTCATCTCTTTCTCCTCTCTCTCCTCTCTTCTCTCTCTCTCATCTCCTTCTCTCTCTACACCTCCTCCTCATCGTGGAGTTGCTCTCTCTTCTCGTCTAGTGCTTCTATGCACTTCTCCTCTGTATAGTTAGGTGGGATATTAAGGGGTTATGTCTGATCGCGCGACTGATACGATGAATGTATAGTGGCTCAATCAGAAGCTCATGATGACTCCGGTCTGACTGCTGTTAATATGATCTAGGATGATTGTCGTTCCTGGCATGGTATATGTAGTGTGACCCACCATCGAGAGCGCAATCCTCTAGTGATACGTATTAGATTGCGACAGACGAGGGTTGGACGCGAGGCAGAGACGTCAGGTTGCTGTCGTTTGATATGGTGAGAATATCCGTAGAAATTGGCGGCATCGACCATCACCGGCATGAGAAGTGCACAGCGACCAGCTGGAGCTCTCACTTGACATTTTTGAAGCATTCCGGCTGCAAAGTCGACGGCGCGAGCGTCGTCAGCATCTCAGTAAGCCAGTTGACACTGGCGAAGGATTGGGACAGTGTACTACAGCACGGGCAGACTGGTATTATGATTCAGGAGCACACGCGTTCGGCTACGTCTAGATCTAGGAGCATGTGCTCGCATGTTGGACCAGATGAGAGTACATCTCAGTTACCAGTGCGAGGCTCATAGCAGTTTGGAGACGAGGGTCGATATGTGCTATGACTGCAGAGAACTGATTAAGGAGAATGATCTGTTTCATGACAGAGGACGTGGAGTTGTGTATGGTCCATACCTCAGAATCAGATAGATCTCACTGCGGTGGATGCATACTAAGCTGATGTCAGTCAACTGGCACACGGCGGTAGTGAGCAGCACACTTTAGCGTAAGCTTAGAGATCGTCGTCTTCCATGCACCTAGAGAGAGGAACGGCTAGGACCATAGGTAAGATTTTACCTAGACAGGATGGATTATTTACAGATATCCCTCCAAACTTAAATTATAACATCCATTTTCTACTAACGTACGCAAGGGGCAATTCGATCTGGGTCGATCAGTATATGACTTATTACTTCTTAATGCAGCACAGATCAACGTTAGACTCGCACACTTAACGTGTAAGATGGATTGTGAATCCTAGGAAGGGCATATCGTCTTCGCGCGTACTTGTCGACCAGATTGACTTTCGCTTGAGTCCAAGCGCATGACAACGAGAAGGGAATAACTAGCAACCACGCGACTACTATTGGAAAGTGTGGAATAGCTGGTATTCGAGGACGGGGAGTCTAGTGCACACGGATACATGAGAGTACAGAGTGCATCTCTGCCCTTCAGGAATCTGTTTTATCCATTGGTGAGTGACTCTGTATGGTCCACTATAGACGAGTGGGATTAAAGCTACACACTGAGCATTAGAAATCACATAGCATGCGATTATAAGCCAGTGTCCTGTGCACGCAGAACAGAAGAAATGTATTTCGTTCTTGTAAAGCATGGGGGTTTACTTCGGGAAATGAAGAGCCACTAAGCCAATCATTTGGAAGTGATTTTCACTAGATATCCTCAAATAGGTCCTTTTGCTGGCATTTTTGTATCTGTGAATATCTCATTATACAGTAACACTGAGTTTAAGGAAATGAACTCGTAAGCCATAAGCCGTATTGCGTATAAGTGAAACGCCCTATATATTGCCATCATAAAATACAAAAATTGATAATCTCATGACATATAATTTGGACGTTGCACATAATGCAGCACCTAATACTTACCTAATATTAATAATATATAAACAAATATACAACAAGGCTGATCTCCGAACAGCAGTGAATATGTTTCATCACTGGTGATGCGACCGAGAGATGTTCGACCGGTACCCGGTATGCTGATATGAGGTATCACGCGGACGTATATACGGTTGACGATGAGTTGCGTCAGGTAATGGATGGAGAATCTTATCCACGGTCGTATGTGTTGTTGGGTTGTGTGTGCATGATATATATTATATACGTGCAATATATAAATAGGTAATAATATATTCGTATAATAAGCTATATAGTTTCTCATATATATATATTCTATATAGTCGCATAGTATATATAGATATGCTTTAGTATATCTCCGCTTCGGAGTTACGTAGCATCATATAACTATAAATAAAAATACAGACACTCTATGTTACATATGGTATTAATATAACATCTCAGTACGGGCGTTGATCTCCCTTAAGTGCGCACCAGATCGTCTCCCTCAGCATATTCCATTATACATAACTCGTCAGTATCACTATAGCGCAGGTAAAAGCGTGACACTGCACACATCATCCACACTCGCCCGCATCCACACACCCTACACCTCACACACACAACTACTCATCCATCCTTCTCATCACCAACACACACACCACACACCACACACACCACCTCATTCTCAACACTCACTCTCTCTTCTCTCTCTCTCTCCCACCACACACATCTTCGACATCCATATTATCCTATATATATATATATCACATATATATCTTATATACTATATACATATAATATACATACACATCTTACTCGTCTCTCCTCCTCGTCCTCGCAATACACACTGTACCATATAAAGGTTCCATACAGAAACGGCATGCGAACATGCAGACACCAACACGTAGTGTATATTTCAATGTATAATTATCTATAAGTATACATATAATAGACATAATATAAATCAGCATCATATATTGAGTGTGTGTGTATATATAAAATTCATATAGCTATCACTCATTATAGTATATATAATATATATAATATTATTATAATATATGTATAATAAAAGAGGGAAGATGGGGCACCTTACCAATAACTACATCCTGCTTATCTTTCAATAATCTACTGTTTCCTGCCAATGGAAAAGGACTATTTTCAATAGAATTCGAAGTACTTATTTTTTCAAGTTTTTGAAAAAAAAAAAAAAATTTTATTGAAAACAGCAGCTTACATACCTCTGTTTGCATAGCTCTTTGCGCAAGCACGATTTCATTCATATGATATAGCATAGTTATATTTCATTATGATAATCATGAATATACACTCCCATGTGTCTAGTGGCTAGGATACCTGGCATTTCACCAGGAGGGCCCGTTCGATCTACCGGCATGGGAAGTATTTTCGTAATGGCTCAAAGTTTTGCGTGGCATTGAACCATAGTTCATCAATACAAAACTATTTGCCCGAGCTGAGGATCGACTCAACGCCTTTGAGGATTAATGAACTCACGCGCTGCCCTTCACTGCGCCATCGAGGCCACAAATATAAAATGTAATTCCAACTCATTGCTTATTCAAGACACTTTATGCACCACTAAGGCGGGAAGGGGCGGGAGGGTTGTTTAATATAATATATATATATATATATCATATATTATAATAATACTCTTGTATATATTCATATATGTGCATGTGCCTATGCATCCATAATTATATATATGTATATGTAGATACATAAAATGTGTGTATACTATATATGTTACATACATGTGTATACAGACTCAGAAACACATGTACTTTTTTATAATTTCATACATAAAATTATGCCATACTATACATATATTACTAACATTATCCCTCAGTAACCTCATTCAGGAGACTTATTGACACAAAAATAGTACAGCGCGTACAGCTACGAATGTCAAAATATTCTTTTATCTTTTTCTCTAATAATCTCCTCGTTCTTTGAAATTAACTAAAACCATAAGTCAGTCTCGGCAAAACAAGATATATATCTGCGTAAACCTCCTCATATTAATGTCCCATAAAAATTTTTGGCACCAATTGGATTTAAAACAAGCGTGTAAAAGTTGTTTTCCTAATAAGGGGCAGAGGCTATAACAAGCATTCCAAAAAGGG